TATAGTGAGAAGAATTTGAAGTGCTCTCTAAAGAAGTACTGTAAAAAGGGCTTTCAAGAATTGTGTTTTACTCGAAACATTTTCTATGAAAATTGGTAGTTCGTAAACATGGAAATGTAGTAATGGAGCTATCAGGGAGTTACAATTAGCATGATGTGTTTGTAAAAACTGCTTTTGAAGTGTTTTAAAAGAGTGCTTTTATAAAAACACTGCAAAATTCACCTTTCATGAATTGGTTTTTGATTTTGGTCGGAAACGAACTTTGAGGGAAATCTGCATTTGACTACTGAGTACATTTGCACAACAAAAGGGATTTCAACTTATTTTTCTCCTGGTTTTCTTTCCAAACCAACATCCTAAAACACCAAGAAGAAACTGTATAAGAGTATATAAACACTACTTTAATCCATTCCTACGAAATCCCCCCCGTTTTTGTTTTGTGTGTGTATAGTAAATTCTACTTCTATCAAGAACTTGTTTGATTGAGTGGAGATTCGGATATTGGTATTGTATAATTTCTTGGATATGTATGTTGTTATAGTACAATTGTTTGTTGTTGCACAACCAGGACTTAATGTTTTATGGGAAGATCTTTGGTGAGAAGAAAGTTGCCCAACAATTCCAGGTTTTGGGAATTCACAGTGTTTTTCAACTCCTGATGTTTGTTGAGTTGCTTTATCGTGTCGTCTTCTAGCTATAATAAGATCATATTTACTTGCTATTGATTCAATTTCTACTATTGTTTCTTGTCCATTTTCAAACATTTGCTCTACATAACATACTGTTGAAATGAAGACTAAAACGGTACAGTTTTGGAGTCTAAATGAAACGTTGCACTTTGATATTTGTCTATAATAAATCTTGATTGTTGGATCAAATCAGATCTGATGGCTGAGAAGCTTCATTAAGTCAACACTATAAAAAGGGGCACTGCACAGTAAAATATATGCTGCGTTTCTGTCTTTGGTTGAAGAAGTTTTACATTCACGATTTTCTCTTTGTATAGGTCATAGATTGATCTTTGTAACTTGTGTGATTGGGTAATCTGTTAGTCAATCAAGAGGGCTTCTTTGCTCTTGTTCTTGGGGATTCCAGGTGAGTATCTCTAGGATTAGTTACTGTGAAGATTACTTGTAATCGTTGAGAGTGTGATTTGGTTTGTACTTGTTCTTGGTTGAATCTTATTAATAAGTAGTGCAGCGAGCTCTCCTATTTCCGAAGCTCAACGTGAACGTAGCTTATCCAATTAGGATAAGTGAACCATAGTAAAATATGTGTGTTGTTATTGAATCTTGCTTTTCTTTGTAGCATGTGTGATATATTTGATTTGTGGGTATTGTAGTTTAGTTACAACAGTGGTATCAGAGCTTTAGGTGTTAGGATTGATTGATTTGGTGAATCTTTGAACAAGCTAGGGTTCCTGGAAATTTCTAAGGTTTGTTGAAATTTGGGGCTTTTCAAATCAAGTCATTCCTTGGTAATCTAGAGTCATAGAAGTATAGATTTGAGGTGTTAAATCGCCAATTGAAAGGTTCTTGGAAGAGTTAGGGTTCGTTATTCAGTAATCTTTTAGGAATTCTTTAATTGCCTCAGTATAGGGTTTCAATTAGGGCTTCTTGAATCAAAGACAAATTAAACACAAATACTTACAATATGTCAATCACATGACTGGAAATCACATAATACGATGGAAAGATTGACTTCGACAGTTGGAAGAAGAAGATGAAGGCGCTACTTTCCCACAACAAGGTGGGGCTTGCTCTGTAGAAGGACGTATCCAAATGGCCAGAGGAAAAATTGAAGAAGAAGGATGAGATCAACGAGGAGGCATACAATCTCATTGTGGAACTTGTTCGATAACGTCCTACGGAAGGTAGATGGGCTAGAAACTCCTCTAGCCCTATGGGGTAAACTCGAAACTTTGTACTCATTACAGTCAACACCCAATCTTGCTTTTTTAAAGAGTACCTTATTTTCATATAAAATGGATAGTACAAAGTCCATTAAGGACAATCTTGATGAGTTTCTAAAGATGGCCCTAATCCTTAAAGGAACTGACCAAGAGTTAGGGGACACTAGTCTAGCAATGATCCTACTGAATTCTTTGATTGAGGAATACCAAGTAGTCAAGAATGCATTACAATATTCAGGAACTGTACCTAGCCTAGACTTGATTGTAGTTGGACTTAAAGCTAGGGAATTAGAGTTAAAAGTCTAGAAACGGTCTGGTAGTAATTTGTTTGTAAAAGGTAGGCCTAAATCCAGTCAAGTAGGAAAGAATAATCAGTATCAGCAAGGGTCTAGGAACAAGAAAAGGGGAAAGGGTAACAACAAAGCAAAAACTAAATCAAGAAAGTGTTTTTTCTATAACAAACCTGGGCACATTAAGAAAAACTGTTTTGAATGGTTAAAGAAACATAAACAGGGAAACACTGAGAGTAACCCGACCTCTAGTAAAAACCAATTGGATGAACCTGAGGTCCTGACAGTGTCAACATCTAACACTACCAAGGAGTGGGTCCTGGACTCAGGCTGCTCATTTCATATGAGCCCACACAAGAACTGGTTTCAGAATCTAGAAACACATGAAAATGAGGCAGCCTACATGGGAAACAATAAGGCCTATAGTGTTAAGGGTATAGGCAGTGTAACCCTTAGACTAACTGATGGAAAACTTGTAAAGTTGACCAAGGTTAGGTATATCCCTGATTTAAAAGGAAATCTCATCTCTTTAGGGACCCTAGATGAGGCTGGATGTTTCTATAAAGCTAGCAATGAATGCTTGAACGTGTATAAAAAACCAGAACCTAATCCTTAAAGGGGAAAAGAGAAATGGTCTTTATATTTTGTGTGGCACTTTTGATTCTGAATGTTTTAATGCTGCTCTGCTTTCTAGTAAAAATATCCACAACTCAAAAATGGCACCTTAGGTTAGCGCATATGAGTCAAAAGGGTATGAATATCCTTAATAGTCAGGGGGTGTTGGGTAAGGATTCAATCTTTAACCTAGAATTCTGTGAAAATTGTGTGTTAGGAAAACAACATAGACTGAGTTTCTCAAAGGGAACTCACCTAGCCACAAACTGCCTTGAATACCTACACTCAAACCTTTGGGGGCTTGAAAAAGTTAAATCCCATGGTGGGAATAGTTATTTTCTATCAATAGTAGATGACTATAGTAGAAAAGTTTAGACCTTTCTCCTGAAAACCAAAGATCAAGTCTTGGCCAAGTTTAAGGAGTGGAAAGTGTTAGTTGAGAACCAGCTAGGCAAGAAAGTAAAAACCCTAAGAACTGACAATGGGTTAGAGTTTTGCAATACTGAGTTTGATAATTTCTGTAGAGAGCATGGCATTTCAAGGCATAGGATTGTTGCTAGGACTCCTTAACAAAATGGGGTGGCAGAAAGAATGAATAAAACCTTACTAGAAAAGGTTAGGTGCCTTATATTCACCTCAGGGCTACCAAACACTTTGGGGGGAAACTTTAGCTACTACAGCTTACCTGGTAAATAGAAGCCCATCCATTGCCATTAATGGGAAGTGTCCTGAAGACATCTGGTCTGGAAGGAAACTAGACTTAAGCCACCTAAGAATCTTTGGTTGTACAACTTATGCACACATTGTGGGGGGGAGGGGAAGCTTGAGCCTAGATCCACCAAATGCATATTCCTTGGATATCAAGAAGGCACAAAAGGGTATAGATTATGGGATAGGGAATCTTTAGGGGTGAAAATCATAGTAAGTCGAGATGTGGTGTTTAATGAGAATGAATTCCCTTGTAAAGCCACTGCCATTGACCAAGTAACACCAAGAAATATTGAGACCTCATCCATTCCCACCGAAAGTACACAAATTGAGGTGGAGCCTATACCACATCAACCTATCCAAATCCAGACCTGGATCCTCAAACTGAAGTAGAAATAGAACAACTAGAACCTAAACAACCAGAACATGAAGCTGTAGAAGAAAACTTAGAACCCCAAACAATGGATTTACAGCAGTACCAACTAGCAAGATGTAAAACCAGGAGAGAGGCAAGGACACCTACACGATATTCTTATGTAAATTTAATCTTTACTGCTTTGCTTGCAGGTACAGAAGTCCATAGGACAGAACCTGAAACATATGAAGAGGCCATGAAATCCAAAGACAAAGACAAGTGGAAAGCAGCAATGAGGGAAGAGATGCACTCGTTAGAGGTAAATAATACTTGGTCTTTGGTACCTAAACCCAAAGACCAAAAGCTTATACAATGTAAATGGCTTTATAAGATAAAAGATGGAATTATTGCCTCTAATCCCCCTAGGTATAAAGCCAGGTTTATAGCCAAAGGCTATACCCAAAGAGAGGGAATAAACTTCAATGAAGTCTTTTCCCCAGTTGTGAAATACAAAACTATCAGACTTATGCTCTCCATTGCTGCCTACCAAAACTTAGAATTAAAACAGCTTAATGTCACCACTGCATTCCTATATGACAGCTTAGATGAGCAGATCTATATGTGTAAGCCTGTCGGTTTCATTGATTATAGGGTGCCAAATCATGTATGCCTGTTATATAAGTCTTTGTATGGCCTCAAACATGCCCTTAGGCAATGGTACAAAAGATTTGATACTTTCATAGTGAGCCTAGGATTTAAAAGAAGTAGATATGACAATTGCCTCTATTTTGATTTAGATGAGGATCTGCCTTTACATCTCTTGTTGTATGTTGATGATATGTTACTAATCAGTAGATCTGTGTTCAAAATAGAAGCATTAAAGAAGAAACTTAGTTTAGAATTTGATATGAAAGACTTAGGAAGTACAAAGAAAATTTTAGGCATGGTTATATCTAGGGATAGGGGGAGTAATGAGTTAAAACTTGATTAGAAAGCATACTTGAAAAAACTAGTAAACAGATTTGAAATGGCTAACTCAAAACCTATCTCTATGTCCTTAGCAAACCATTTTAGGTTAAGTAAAAACCAATGTCCTAAAACTGAAGCTGAAATGATAAAAATGGATACTGTCCCTTATGCTAGTGTGATTGGCTCTATTATGTATGCAATGGTAAGTACTAGACTTGACCTATCATTTGCTATATCATTGCTTAGTCGATTTATGTACAACCCTAGGAGTGATAATTGGACTGCCCTAAAATGGGTTGTAAGATACATTAATAGTTCCTTAAGTGTTGGTTTAAAATACTATAAAAGAACTACTATGCTTGATCTGGTGGGGTTCATAGATTCTGATTTTGTAGGTGACAAGGACACCAGAAAATCCACAACAGCCTACTATTTTACACTTGGTGGAAACTATATAAGCTGGAAATCTCAGTTGCAACCCACTGTAGCATTGTTATCAACTGAGGTTGAGTATATAGCCATAGCTGATGTGTTTAGGGAGGCTATATGGCTGCAGGGGATGTTGTCAAAAGCAAATTTATTTGATGGGAAGGTCACAATCTACTCTAATAGCCAGAGTGTAATTCTTCTCAGTAAAAACCCAATCTATCATGAAAGAACCAAGCATGTAGATGTCCGATTTCATTTTGTGAGAGACCTTGTTACACAAAGAGTAGTTGAATTGAAGAAGGTAACCACTGAAGAAAATCCAGCAGATATGGGGACAAAAGTCATTACACTAGCAAAGTTCAAGCACTGCTTGAAGTTGTTGTCAGTGGAGTAATCAGGAGCGACCTAGAGCTATGAGGGATATGGTTTAGAGTGAGTTGCACTGCTTAGGTTTCAAGTCTTCAAGGTGAAGATTGTTGAAGTAAAGACTAAAACGATATAGTTTTGGAGCCTAAATGAAACGCTGCACTTTGATATTTGTCTATAATAAATCTTGATCGTTGGATCAAATTAGATTTGATGACTGAGAAGCTTCATTAAGTCAACACTAAAAAAAGGGGCATTGCATAGTAAAATATGTGCTGTGTTTCTGTCTCTGGTTGAAGAAGTTTTACATTCATGATTTTCTCTTTCTATAGGTCTTAGATTGATCTTTGTAACTTGTGTGATTGGGTAATCTGTTGGTCAATCAGGAGGGCTTCTTTGCTCTTGTTCTTGGGGATTCCAGGTGAGTATCTCTAGGATTAGTTACTGTGAAGATTACTTGTAATCGTTGAGAGTGTGATTCGGTTTGTACTTGTTCTTGGTTGAATCTTGCTAATAAGTAGTGCAATGAGCTCTCCCATTTTCCGAGCTCAACGTGGGCATAGCTTATCCAATTAGGATAAGTGAACCATAGTAAAATCTATGTGTTGTGATTGAATCTTGCTTTTCTTTGTGGCGTGTGTGATATATTTGATCTGTGGGTATTGTAGTTTAGTTACAACACATACTGTTTGATTGGTGCAATTTTCAGGTTTAACATCACTCAACACCTCGGAGTCAAAGACTTTCTCCCAGTCTACACAGTCTCAACATTCTTGGCAATGATACGGACCATAGTGAGGCTTATGATCGACTTTTGGCTCATGCATTTAGTCAAACTTAATGCTTTGCGATCATCACTACCTCCAAAGAAAAGCATAGCTAGAGAGAGATGATATTGATGATAAGTCCTTGGAAATGCTGAACCTTCACAAATAGCCACGATTAGCAAGAATCGCCACAGAGCAAGGTGATTGTTCAAGAACACAATGATTCATGGCTTTTCTTGTATTGTCCTCTGATTGAACGGATCCATCTAAGAACCATTTTCAATGAAATGGGAGGACTACAATGGTTGTGAGCTTGCCAAACACCACCATGCATATATCCTAGCGCATAAACTTGGTGGAGATACTGCTGTGAAGAGATGAGCATATACATTATCTAACCACTCCTATTCTGAGCATGCATTTTGTGGGAGATAAAGAGTGGAGCATCTTACCCGCTTAGATTGATTAGATGAAGGACATAAACAGCGACAGGGCTGCTTCTGGTCAAACAAGAGGCATCGAGAAAATTGAGTATGGCAGGGATGTTATTTGGCCTGAAAATACATGCAAGTATATGCAGCTCTATGCACTTGGCTTCCATAATGTTTCTTTCCTGGTAGCCTGCATACTTCCTCGAAGGATCATAAAGAGCTTCACAAGGATTGGCATGACGGTGGTTGTAATTAGAATTGTAATAATCAAGAAATGAAACACCTCCGCTCTTTTAAGCTGCATTTAAGGTAAAAAGTTAGCAATATTAGTGGCCTTGTTATCAAGAAATGACATTTGATAAACATTGTAATTGGATCCATGAAAATGCTAATGGTACCTTGTTGTCTCTAACTTTAGTGTAACTGATCAGCTCAACTATGCCTTTGGAACTTAATAGGAAGGCAAGTGCAACAGCATCCCTGTTGGGTACCTTGGAAACCAATGGAGGAATCAAGACATCAACAAATTTGGCCGTGTTAATCGTAGCAACAAAGATTGCAACGCTAATCATTAACTCGTCGCTGAAGTGAATAATATCTTGCACATTCACTTTCATAGCACACATATTTAATAGAACGGGGATGAATAGGCCTAAGACAAACGGATCGAGTTTATCAACCAGAGTAGAATACAGCTAAACCCAGAAGAAAAGGACCTAAGAAAACACATTGATTAAATATGAATGACACTAGGCCAGATCCCACTACCAGCATGATTATATAATGAACGTACAAGCTTTTGACAGGTTTTCCTTCAAGTGTTTGTTTGATAATCCAATGGAATTATGGCTTCATTATGGTTACTATTTTTAAGATGAAAACCATCATCGATGCAATGTCGATAAGACCTTTTTTGACAGAGCTTAATTTCCAGCAACCTTGTAAATCTAGATTGCAATCCACGTAAAAACAAAGTGACAATTTCACAGACAAATGCGCATGATAGTCCTAATCGGCCGAGTTCTGAATTTATGATTTGAAGGTCATTGATGAGGTAAGAAATGACTGGGAATAGACTCTGGCAATGTATTATAAGTACAAAGAATAGTTGTATTCTTCCATCAAGACCAAACTTCCAAAAATTGCTCACATTTACAAGGACTGCTACACCAAGTAGTATAAGTAGCAGTAGAGACAGCAGAGAAGTAAACAATATCTTTTTTCAAGTCTTGGGAATCATGCTAACTTTCATTTTGACTCTCATTAGAAACATAAACATCCTCGTGTGATTATTTGTGTTGATATTTTTGTCAAACTTATATTATGGTGACACATTTTGCCAAGTGGCATTTTCTGTTTGATTGTCTTGCCCATTAAGTTTATTTTGATTCATGATATCCTTGTATAATCTAACTTTAAATGTGTCACAATTTCCTTATGTGGTCTTAAAAGTTTGTAAGGTTTGTCTGTGGTCCCGCAAGAAAGAGAAAAGATATGTTTATGGTCCAGCAAAGAGTTGGAATTGTTTTTGTCCTCCACGTGTTCAACTATGTTAGACTTATGTCTTTTGCTTTTTCATTTTGTGTGTGCACACACTTTTTAGTTGTGCTAACATCGCATGTCTGACTTACTTTTGCACAAGTTGCGTTTTTATCTTTATCAGGTGATATATTTTTTCCCATCTATTGTGCTGTCATGTGGACCACCTACAGGTGTCCCAATATCCTCTTGTGGTCCAAGGAAATAAGCTTTTTCCCTTTTTGGTTGTGGTCCCAAAATTTAGATAGACTGTTTTCCATTTTTGGACCAACATTTGTTAGCCCTTGGTTTCTGACTTGGCAAGAATTGGGGAGCACCAAAATGGGTCTATATCATCTTCATTCTTGCTCATTTGTAAAGCTAACCTTTGATATTTTATTTTTCTTGTGCTCTAAAATTTTTAGAGAGTTTTTCTTCAAAGGTTCAACTTATGTTTATGTGCTAAATCGTTACCATCTCTTATTATTGATTGAATGGTTGTTGGAACTTAGTTCCATTGTTGATGTTGGAGCATGGCTTGGGCATGTGAAGCTTGGGTGGAGCTCAAGTGTTCTTTAGGTGTGTTCCCGACATGAAGAAGTGTTTAGAGCAACAAGACATTAGAGATTCAAAAGGTGGTGTTTAGTTTAACTAGAGCAAGAAGTTTTCTTTACTGTAGCTAAAATCAACTTTGAACTATATCTTGTAATGTTTGTTGTTTAGTGGATTTGCTTCGATCTGAATGAGGTCCCATGAATGTAGGCTAAGAGTGGTTTTAGCCGAACCTTGCATATGCTGATGTGCACATTTATTGTTTATGGATGTTTGATTCATGTTTAACTTGATAACCATTTATCAACTTAGTAAAAACTTCTGCTGCACTTTAAAAACGGGTATTTAAATGCTATCTAGAGTTCACCGACTCCTAACAATTTGAAACTCAAATCCTGGCAACGAAGCCTCCAAGTGATTATGTAATTTATCATGAATATATTCCCATAACCCATTTGAATCAACTGATGGAGGAAACTTTATGCAGAATCTTTGCCTTACTTCATATGATTTCGGTTCTACTTGAAGAGATTCACTCACGTAGTGAATTGATGTCATCGAAAACTAAACCACCGCTGCTGCCGGAGAGCTACCAAGGCTATAGCTCCCTTTGAACAAATGCTCAACTGAATAATTCTTCATCTTCTTCTTCTCCAAAGGTAAGGCTGGAATGTTATTATTGATTTATTTTTTATGTTCTTGGGATAAAAGCCTTGTTAAGGTTAAGTTGTTTTACAATTTTTGCAAATAAAATGTCAGTGTTATTGAAATGGAAGTAAGAGTTTGGCACCTAAATTTTGGGACTAAAAAAAGATTTTTGTTTTTGTTTTTAGAAACCACTATTGGATGGCCGGGTGGGACAATAAAGACTCTTTGGTGTATTACTTAAGAGGTCTTGACTCTTGAGTTTGATTCCTATTGGTCTCTAATAGAGGTGACTTTAAGGCCTTGGAAGATTAGTCAAGGTGTATGCAAACTGACCCGAATACCCTCGGTCACACGAAAAAAAGAAAAAAGAAAAAAACTTTTTACACTTAATTACATTGTAAATTTGCGTATCATTACTCTTAAGCTAGTCAATTAAAGCATCATCACTATGATCAGCTTCTAATATTGGTTAATAGTTAGTTGAGTAGTTAGTCTAGTAGAGGTTAAGTTAAAGTAACAGCAGTTAGTACGTCTAGTTAATTCATCTTTGTATTAATTAGTTTTATTAAAGCTAAATCCAGCTGTAAGCTACTTAAATACCCAAAATGTAATACAAGGTATCAGACTTGAATAAAAAAAAAGATAGTTGTTTCTTCTCTCTCAGTCAAAGAGTTTTCACTTCTTCTCTTTGTAATAAGCATCAGAGCTCCGATCTGAGCTCATTCAAGCAAAATTCCGCAAAACTTCCTTCAATTAGATTGTTTTTTCTTCTATTTCATTCAAATGATTCAGAATCTTTGAATTTTTGTTTGAAATTTCTTCTTGAAAGAGTTCTTTCTTTTGACCTAAATTCTTGATCAACGATGAGTGAATCTACAAACACCAGTGTTCAAGGAGCTACAATGGTAGCAGATTACAATAATCTACTATACATGCATCATTCTGATACTCTTGGAAGTCAAATAGTGAGTCAGATTTTGACCGGAATAGATAACTATGGACTTTGGAGTCATGCGATGCGAATAGTGCTTTTAGCCAAGAACAAGTTGTGCTTTATAGATGGCTCATTTGCTCGTCCTCTTGATTCTCTTTAGGTGCAACAATGGGATTGG